GATGTCTTATTAGTCTTGAAGATATGTGTAAATTGGCTTACAGATTTTGGATGTTAGACATTTAGCTGGAGTGAAGTGAGCAGAACCAAGAGGACCTTTGTACACAATAACAGCCATGTTATGCAATGACTAAGATTGTTAAACTGAACCCTTCTCAGCATTACGAGGATCTAAGACATCTCCAGAGGCCTCAGGATGGAAAATGCTGTCCACATCCAAAGAAAGAACAATGGAAGTCGAATCACTATCACTTACTTTTACCTTCTGTTGAGTTTTGTTTCATCTTTCTGATGGTTCCTCCTATTGGTTTTAATTTTTACTTACAACTTCACTAATGTGAAAATATGTTTAATGAGTATGTAAATGTAAAGCCTATATCAGATTGTGCACCGTCTTGGGGAGGGTCGGGGGGAGCAAGGGGGAGAAAAATTTTCAGCTCAAAAGCATATGGAAGTGATTGTTGATAAATCAAAATAAATTAACAAAATTTAAAAAATAAAAAATAAAAAAATAGAAATTTAGCTGATATATTTTTAGCAAATATTTTTGTAATCTGTTGCCATTTTAGAGATATGGCTTCTTGCGCCAAAAAAACTTTTATCTTTGTATAACCAAACCCTTCATTTTTGTTCGCAATGTTTTCTTTTATTTGATAAAAATATCCTTCCTTCCTCATCATGGTTGAGGATTTGTTATAGTATTGCTTTTCTGTTTTAAAAATATTTAGATTGCCAAACTAGTTAGATTTTATTTTAGTGGATGGATCCAGACTTTTTTTTTTAGCCATAGAGCTATAGTTTTCCCAGCAATTTTGCTTTAATAGTGATTCTATTCCCCACTGTTTTTTTTAATTAAAAATTTTATTATAACATAAAACATCAGTAGAAACAATCAGACTTGCTTAGTAACTATTTGCTTCTAAATGACTTAGTTCTAGCACATAAAGTATCAGGATCTTTTGTTCATGCTCATTCACTTTTCCTCATATTATGATAGTTAGTATGTACTTTCTTCTGGTTCTGCTTTTTTTTTTTTGCTTTATATTACTCCATAAAAGTATTTTCAGATTCTTTGGATTCCTCATACCCTCATGCTTCTCCATCTTAATTGTATTATAATGTTCCTTCCATCCTCAGGGTTTTTAATGTTGTCTATCAAACACCAATCTTATTTTCTTTTGGTTCTACTTCTGGATTCTCTGTACTATTCCATTGATGTATTTCACTTTTGTTTTTCTCAGTACAAGAAAGTTTTTTAAATTTCCCTTTGCAGACTTTATTTTTTAAATATTCTTGATATTCTTGTTTATCTTATTTTCCTTATGAATTTATGATTATGAAATTAGGATTTTCAGTCTAACATTTTTAATAATAGCTATCTGTGCTTCTAGCCATGTGTGGAATAGAAGGTGAAGGGTTGGTGTACATGCAACTTGACTGGTCCCCAGACTTGTGTGGGCAGCACCATCAATCCTCCCTTCAGTTATGGCTTTCCCTTTAGTCAATACTGACACTCAGACAATGAGTTTTTTAACCCAGAACAAAAATATTAAAGATACTTGAAGCCACCAGCCTGAGCAAACTTAATTCTAGCTCTTCCCCACAAGGGCTGCTATAAGGTTTAGTTTGAACTACTCTAGTAATGATAATATTAAGAGTTACAAATATCACTTTCCCATAAAAGAAGTAAACAGTTTAACCTTATTAAATCCCTTATACTTTGTCTTTCAAGTTTACCTTCATGTGTCTCCCCTGATTTGTGTAAGTCAAATTTTCCGTTCAGTTCTGGTCTTTTCCTCAAGAATACCTGAAAGTCCTTTAGTTCATTAAATATTCATTTCTTCCCGCAGGATTACACTCAGCTTAGCTGAATAGAATGTTCTGCATTGCAAACCCAGCTCCTTTGCTCCTCAGAATGTTATATTCTATGCCCTTCAGTTTTTTGATGTAGAAGCTGCTAAGTCTTGGGTTAGCCTGACCGTGGCTCCACAATGTTTGAATTTTTTTTTTCTAGCTGCTTGTAATATTTCCTCCTTGACCAGGGAGCTTTGAAACTTAGCTATAATATTCCTGTAAGTTTTCATTTTGGGACCTTACCTGAAAGGTGGTAATAGGTGGATTTTTTCTATTTCTATTTTACCCTCTAGTTAAAGAACTTCAAGGCAATTTTCCTTAATAATTTATTGAAGTTACTTATTGCACAAGTCTAGAGAATTTTTTTAATCATAATTTTCAGGTAATCTGATAATTCTCATATTATCTCTTCTTGATCTGTTTTTCAGTTTTTTCTAAGGAGATGTTTCACACTTTCTTCTATGTTTCATTCTTTTGATTTTATATTATTATTTCCTGATATCTTATAAAGTCATTAGCTTCCCCTTGCCCAATTCTAACTTTTAAGGAGTTATTTTCTTTGGTAAGTTTTTGGATCTCTTTCTCCAATTGACTTTCTTTTCATGATTTTCTTGCTTTTCTTACATTACTCATTTCTTTTCCCATTTTTTTTCAACCTTTGTTATTTGATTTTTAAAGTTCTTTTTAAGCTCTTCCAATAATTCTTTTGGGGCTTGTGATCATTTTACATTTTTCTTTGAAGCTTTAAAAGAAGCTGTTTTGTCTTCTCGTGAGTTTGAACCCTGATCTTCTCTATCATCATAGTAGCTATCTATGGTCTGTTTATTTACTTATTTTTTAATGGTCTATTTCTTGGCTTTTAACTTTATGTTAGAGTCAGACTCTGTTCCTGGGGTGTGGGGGATAATGTCTTAGGCTTCCGATTTTTGGTGCTGTTGTTTTCTGAGCTCTATCTGAGGGCCTCTGACCTCTTAGTTCTTCCAATGGTCTATAATCCAAAGCCAGGGCCATACAGAGTGTTCAAGGAAAACTAGCACCTTTGGTGTGAGGGCTTGTCAAGCCCTTTTCAGGGCTGCTCATCCACCTTTGGTGTCTCCCTGGCACTCAACTTTCACCTGTAGCTCTAAGAAGCAGTAGCATGCACAGTAGCCACACCGCAATAAACCATCTCAGCAGACAGGCTAAACCACATTAAGGGTAACCCAACAGACCTCAAACCCATCAGTGAATTAGGCGGGTGTCTATCCCAAGTGTATGAAGACTTCTCCTGGTGGAATGGGCAGATAAGAACAATTTGTTCTCATGGCTATGACGATGGCTGAAGCAGGAGCTGTGAAGCACTTAGAGCTTAGTCAGACATTGAAGATGCCAAGGTCATCCAATGCATCCAAGACCATCACCAGTAGTCTTCAATTTCGTCTTGATACTGGACTTTGATGGCTCTGGAAGAGAGAATGAGGCTGACAACTTTGTGCAACCCTGCCTCACTTAAATCCATTTTACATGCACAAATTAAGACATCACCTGTGATGTCTCATACTTCTCCATCTTAATTGTATTATAATGTTCCATCCTCAGTGGTTTTTAATGTGTGTCTATCAAACACCAATCTTACTTTCTTTTGGTTCTACTTCTGGATTCTCTGTGCTATTCCATTGATGTATTTCACTTTTCTTTTTCTCAGTACGAGAAAGTTTTAAAAATTTCCCTTTGCAGACTTTATTTTTTAAATATTCTTGATATCCTTGTTTATCTTATTTTCCTTATGAATTTATGATTATGAAATTAGGATTTTCAGTCTAACATTTTTAATAATGGCTATAAAACAACAAAAGATTTAGATTAGAACAGATTTACTTGAACTTTCTTTGAGTTTGGAAAGTTATCAAATATGAATTTTAAAAATATGCCTTCAGTCTATTGCTGAGCTCCTAAACTGGGAATGTTCAATCAATTAATCAATAAATATTTATTCAGCACTTATTTTATGCCAGGCACTTTGCTAAGCACTGGAGATACAAAAAAAAAAAAGGCCAAAGATAGTCCCCTGCCTTCGAGCAGTTTACAACCTAGTGGGGGAGACAACATGAGAACAAATGTATACAGGATAAATAGGAAATAAATAAATATAAAATAAAATAAACAGGAAATAATTAAAAAGAGGGAAGACACTGGAATTAAGAGGTCTTGGAAGACTTCCTGTAGAAGGTAAGGTTTTAGTTGAGATTTAAAGGAAGCCAGGGAGGTCAGTAATACAGTGCGAGAGGGAGAGCATTCCAAGCACCTGAGAGAGCCTGAGAAAATGCCTGGAGCTAAGATGGTAATTTCTTGTTTGTGGGGCAGTCTAGTTTGCCAGTGCAATTACAGAAAGTACTCTGTTTTTATACTGTCTCTTCCCCTTCCTCTCTCCACACCCCAGGATACACAAATGGCAACAATGGCCACATACTTAGAGAAAACAGGTGACAAAACAGAAAGCAAAAAACGCCCAACTCCCCCCCCCCAAAAAAAAAACCCCTGTTAATAAAGATCAATAAAGCAGACTCATTTTTCCTAGAAAGAGAATGAAAAGATGGGGGAAAGAAGAGGAGAATGAGGTTGAAATCACCAAAACTTTAAGTATTTGCTAATTTTGCTATTATTATAAAAGGTATTTATCATTTTCTCTTGATTTTTAGTAGTAGCACAGATTATTTTTGTGCATTTATCTCACTTCCTACTACTTTTGTTACCTCCCAAAATTTTTCTATTGGCTGTTTTGGGTTTTCAAGGTATACAGTCATGATGACTGCAAATAGAGATGGTTTAACTTCTGAAGTGTCAATATTTGGTTTTTTACTGCTTTACTGTTTTAGACAGATGGTCAAGCATGCTTCTATTTTCTCAGTGAAAAGTCAGGGTACTGTGGGGGGCAAAATGTTACCCAGATTTTTTTGACTTGGTCACAGTGTTATTTGTTTTTGCTTAACTTTTTCTTTTGTGCAAAGGAGGATCAGTTTTGGGGTGAGGAAAGGATGTCTGAAAAAATAAAAAAAAATTTAAAAAATTTTAAAAAAGGAAAGGATGTCTGGAAATAACTGTGCTGAGGAGATAGAAGGCATTGATGGAAATTATTTTTCAAAAATAATATTTTGGGTTTTTTGCCAGGAATTAATGTCAAGGTTACTGGCCTATAGTTTGCAGATTGCTCTTTCCTTTGTGGAAAAGCAAAATGACATTTGACCTTCACTAGACACATAGTACCTCTTCAGTTCTCCAGAATCTTTCAGTGATCCCAGGCAACGGTTCAGCAATCACATTTGCCAGTTCTTTTAGTACACTGTGATGCAGTTCATCTGAGCTTGGTGACAGACTCATCCAGGTATTCTTTTATTATCTCCTTGCTTATTTTTTATTTTAACTCTCTGTCGAACTATTTTGCTTTGCCCTTTCCAGTTCAAACATCATACTCCTTAGCTGAGAAGACAGAATCAAAATAAGAATTAAATATTTCTGCCTTCTCTCTTATCCATTGGCATCATTCCAACCAGCAGATTCTCCATTCCTTCCCTGATCGTCTGTCTCTTTCCTTTGATAATTTTTTTTAAATACAGGTTTTCTTGCTGTCCTTAGTGATGTGGTTTGAGAGGTGCAGGGACCCCTCAAAGACCGAAGTACAGGACAGGGTCGTCTTTAAGCATTCTTTAAGTCAAGTTAGCAAAAGTTTACCATACCACTAATATGGCAGACAGAGCTCCCTAGGGAACTTGCCATGGTGGGCAGAGCTCCTTAAGGGATTCTGCAACCTAACAGGAATGATGCTAAAGCTTATATAGGAAAAGTAGTACATTGTGTGCCAAGTATGCTAATTAGGTGATAACATACAACCTTAGTCACAGATGTTATTTACTACAGGAAACCGGGGAGGAAGGTTCCTAACATGTATTTTTGGTCTATTATATCTGTAATAAAATAGCTTCGGGAGTTGACGTCTATAACTTGATCTCTAGATTGTATATGATAACTGTGGGATTCAGTTCGAGATAGTTTTGTTGATACAAGATAGTCTCATTCATACAAGGGCAATTCTATAGAAGTCGGCTTGTTCTTGTAACAGGAGAGATAGTGAGATAGTTTGCCTCACTGGGCCCACTCCTGAGTTACTGTCAGAGATAGGGTCTTTAAGCTGGGGAGAAAATTGTCAGAGATAGTGTTTTGAGGCTGGGGAGAAATATAGTGTTGGAACTGAGTTCAGGCACCCAAGCACCCCATCACTTAGCATGCCTGTCATCGTTATTTACATATTTTGCCGAGCTTTTGTACTCATCTTCCATTACCTATCCCTATTTTTACCTTCTATAGTTTGTTATCTGCACATCTACATCAATCTCTTTTGACAACTCCCCCCCCCTTTCTCATCAGAATTCTTTCTGTGTATTTAGAAATTTAATTTTGAAAGCTCCTTATCCTTCCTGGGCTGACTTCCTGTGAACAATTTCAGGCCGCAGGCTCCCTAACCATGAGCTAAAATGGAAACTGGAGATGTCTCTACTGAAATTTTGCAGACCCAACTTCAAGGGCTCTCCTTCAGCAAGGTTGTGATGTAAGCAAAGCCCTTCCTCTCCCTCCCCAAAATTCCCCATTGCTCTGTCCTATGCAGGTCAGCCTTTGACCTAAATTATACCTTGCTGCCAAATTACCTCTCCCTTCCATCTTCACACCCTTCTCCTGGTCAAAACTCCCAGCTGCTCTTTTCTATGATCTCATTTAGAAATTAGGCAGAAAGTCAACATAGTAAATTAATTTATATGAAGTTGAAAACAACTCTAGTTTGCTAACCCGAATGAACATTCATTGGTAGAATTTCTGATATTCTAATTAAAGTAGTTCCAGGAATTCAACAGCTTCCATGTATGGGTGAGAGGGAATTTGTGGATTAAAGATCGGTAAGAATTATGGTCTTGCTGCAGTGAGGTTGGGTCAGTGGGGTCAATGGACTGAATCAGTTCCTTGGGCTCTAGGCCTAGGTTATGCAGGATGCTATCTCTACCCTCACAGCTGAACCCCCCTGGGATCCCTTCTCCTCAAGGGGTACCCTCGGGCCCCACCCAGGGGATGGTGATGGCGAATGAGGCCAATCTCACTAATCTCAGGTAAATCCGAGCTGGGTCCCCAGAGCCTTCCCTGCGGACCCCCTCTCCCCACCCCCACCCTCACCCCAAGGGGGCGGGGCATCCTTGGACTGTTCCCCCAGGGAAGCTCCGCCCCTTTCCCCAGAGGCGCTGCCAGGCCCAAAGCATCATGGGGGCTATGCTGAGCTGCTGGGAAGGTGGGGACCAAATCTGGTGAGACTTGGGGCTCCATTCACACCCTCGAAGTGGAGAGCATGGGTGGGAGGAGGCAGGGGTTGGGGGGGGAAGCAGCCCTGTGCCCCGGCGTTGGAAGCGGGGGGGGGCAGTTTTCCTCGTGGACCTCCTGCTGCCTGCCTGCCCCACCCGACCCTGGAAGGATCTACCCGTCGAGCAGCAGGGGGTCCCCTCGAAGGGGGGTCCCCTGGGGACTGATGCGGACCTGCCCCTTCTTCGCATCCTCTCTCTCCTTGCTCCCAGTATCCCATCGAAACTTACCAATGGTGGAGTGGCCGGGCTGGTGGGGGGTGACCTGTGTGTTCCCCATTGATTTGGCCAAGACTCGGCTGCAGAACCAGCATGGAAAGGTGGCCTACAAAGGACTGTAGGTGAAGGCTGCAGGGCTTAGCGGGTGTTGGGGGTGGAAGAGGCCAGGGAGGGCAGGAGGGGGAGCTGGAGGGGAGGGGGTGAGGAGGTAGAGGAGGAAGAGCAGGAGAAGGGGGAGGAGGAGGAGGGAGGACACTGTCCCTGTCCTGCTAAGGTTTGGACCTTAGGATTTGGGGCCAAGACGGGACAGAGAAGAGCAGTCATCGCAGCTATGGGCTAGAATGGCAGGGCAGGAACAGGAACGACGTCCCCTCTTCTCTTTCTCTTCTAGGATAGATTGCCTGGTGAAGACAGCCCGCACAGATGGCTTTTTTGGCATGTACAGAGGTGGGCTTAATTGGGACCCCAGGGAATGGCAAGGCCCAGCGGGTCAGGGTTGTGGATTTAGCACAGGGGCTTTCAGACTTTGAGGATGGGGATAGAAGCTTTGGGGTTATTTTACAACCTAAACCTCTTTCCTGGAGAGAGATCTAGAGCCTATGAGGTGGGCAGATAAGTTATCAGCCTACCTGTGGCAGCAACCGTGTCCTTTAAAATGGAGGCCAAGCTAGGGATGTTTCGTTCAGCTCTATATTCTAAATGAATATAGTATGATGGCTTGTAAACTAGGTGGAGTCCTAGGCTGAATTAGGAGGCTTTCTAGTTCTGACCCCAAATGTGCCAGATGTCTTTGGTCCTCATGAAAGGATAAGTAATTCCCAACCCATCTGCTCCATCTTCCCCTCCCAAGCTGCGGTGACAGTTACATCTAACAGCATAGGAGTAAATGCAGTTGTTCAGTTATTTCCCTTTGTGACCTCATTTGGGGTTTTCTTGGCAGAGGTACTGGAGTGGTTTGCTGTTTTCTTCTCCGGCTCATTTTATAGATGAGGATGGTCCACTGATGCAAACGGGGTTAAGTGACTTATCCAGAGTCACACAGCTATTGTCTGAAGCCAGATCTGAACTCACAAAAATTAGTCTTCCCGACTCTAGACCTGGCACTATCCATTGCGCCACCTAGCTGCCCATGGAGTAGTAAATGCTGTAGAGATTGGAGATAGTGAGAGCTAAAAGGGCAGTTAAAGATCATAGGATTATATATCAGTTTTAACCCCACTATTTTGCAGATGGTGGAAGTTTAGCTACCTTAAGCTTGGAAGAGACCTGGAGGTCATTTTCCATATGTAGAAACTGAGGCTTAGTGGGTGAAGTGACATAAGCTGATTCCAAAAGTAGCACTGAAAATCCTTCTTAATCTATGTTATTAAATTGTTGTCAAAAGGCTATTTTTTAAAAGCTCCATATATAATTTAAGCAGTTAAAAGAGAGGGTATCATTATGGAATGAGATTATTATTACTAATTACATGGTGTTAGGATAGGGAAGGGAGATGTGATTTCACTCTTCTAGGGAATTGCCAGATGAGAAAACTCCCTCTACCAATCAGGTCCAGCATCTTCTTTGTACATTAAGAAGTGATGTGACACGCCCAGAATCCCAAGCCAGTACGTGTAGAACTTGAGCCCATATTTCCCTGGTTCCAAGCCAGCTCTCCATCCATTGGCTTCAGGACCAGGAAGCCAGGTTTAAAGTCAGAAGGTGTGGCTGCCTCACCAAGTACATACATACTATTATGAAACTAAATTAATGTAGCCTTTTAGAAAAGCTAAAAATAGGATATTGACCAGAGTTGGAGCTTAATTTTATAGGGTTTCCCAGAAACTCATTTATAGATTTTCTGTAAGATTTTTAAAAAAGCATCCCAGTCAATGAAATTAGGAGTCAATATAGTTGCAGGGGTGAGGAACCTGTGACCTCAAGGCCACATGTAGCCCTCTAGGTCCTCAAGTGTGGCCCTTTGACTGAATCCAAACTTGACAGAATTTTCCCTAATGTTCAGAATTCAGAATTAGACTCATAACTGGATCTTCCTGGCACTCTTCTACCTTTCCCACCTCTTCCTGGATCACTTTCTCTGATCAGCACTGGAAAAGTCATACATTGTAGGCAATACACTTCTAGTCTCTTTGGAGTTGAGACCAAAATGGGCAGAGAATGATACTCAGGCATAAAAAAAATATAAAACAAATGCCTACAAAGCCATAGCAAATTCCCTGTCCTCTAGTGGTTGGTTTGTTTTCTAAGAGGCAGAAGACACAAGAACACAGGACTAAGTAGAAAACATTAAATGAATCTGCAGATTTTAAAAATGGGTAACACAGCTATACCAGAATTTCCCCTCACCTGTTACTCCCTTCCCAAGAAGCCAAATTCATCCTGCCCACTTATCCAAGAATTCATTTTGGTAATTAGGTCTCCGAACAGATTGACTGTATACATAAAACCAGTTATATGCACAATGGTTTATATATCTTGTTACCTCTGGCACTGGATCAATCCTTTTATTTTCCTGTATCAATTCCCAGGGGCAGCAGTGAACCTAACCTTAGTCACTCCGGAGAAAGCTATCAAGCTGGCAGCCAATGACTTCTTCCGAGAGCAGCTCTTAGAAGATGGGTAATGGGTGAAAGAGTGGCTTGAAACTCCCTTTGGTGTGCATGTATCTGTGTATACCTAAGTTTACACACATGGCTAGGGGTTAGAGAAGTGTTGGTAGGAATTGGGAATAGGTGGAGGAGGAATGAAGTGAGAAGGCTTAATTCTAGGATAAATGTCTACCAGCCTTGAAATTTCTTTAAAACAAACACACAGAAAAACATCCTAGTCCTTCTTGTTCTTCCTAGTGATTTGAATCTCAAGCAGTAAGGAGAAGCAGGAACTGTCACAGTGGCTTCAACTTTTATTTCAAATTCTTTTATCCTAACCCCCTAATTTGGCTCCAGGGGACCCCAGCCATGGGTTCATTTTACTTAGATGTGAGTGGCAGTCACGGGGGTAGAGCTGAGCATCTTGGCCACTGACCACTTTAATTTACTCCATTTCAAAGAGTGAGGATGACCATCCATATATGATAAAGGAATCTGACTGTCCATCTCTGGGGCTTGTCTGGGCTGGCCCTGCAGGTCGAAACAGAATCTGATAAGGGAGATGCTGGCTGGGTGTGGAGCTGGGGTGTGCCAGGCGGTGGTTACCTCTCCCATGGAAATGCTGAAGATACAGCTGCAGGATGCTGGACGGCTGGGTGAGGCTTGGATAGGGTAGAAGATTGACTGGGTTGTTCATGTCCTTTTGGCAGGTGGAAAAGGTCTTTTAGCCCATTCAGACATGCAAAGCTAGACTCCCTACTCCTAAGGAAAGAGGACCAGAAGAAAGGAACCAGGGAGGGACACAGGAAAGCATCTTCCTCTTTTGGGGGGGGACTGTACCCTCAGGCTAAATATGTAGTATGCCTAACTAGAATTCATCTAGCTGGTTTTTTTTCCTCCCAGGCAGATCCAAACCAGCCTGATTTAATGTTAATCAGAAACCTGATTTAAGGTTCTATACAGTTCTAGCTAAACTGGGGGAATTACCAGTACTTTATGACTTTGACCATTTTTAGGTTAAGAATACATTATAAGGATCAAAATAGTGATTAAATAATTTTGCTTCTGCGTACACCTTTATTCTCAAAGCTAATTCATTTGGGGCGTGGCACCTTGAATTCAGACAACCTGTGAATTAGTTTTTTACTAGGAACTCATAATTAAAACTTAAGAGAAGCATGCCAAAATCAGTTAACTTTATATTTTTTCTTGATAAATGCTGTGGTCATTGCTGGACATTTTTATGCATATATATTAAATAATAAGTGCTTGTTATTAATTTTTATGTTAATTTTAGGCCCTTCTAAGCGAGCTGACTGCAGCCTCAAAAACTTGTCAAAACTTAAGATGGGTGGAATGTAGGTGCCAAAGTGGGAGCCTTCAGATTTCAAGGCGGGAGTACAATCTGAGCCATAATCTGGAAAAGGAAGTACAGTGAAATCCCCTAAATTGTAGGTGACAGTTCTTGTAAGTGGTAGAGTGCCAAACTGTTGGGGATAAACTGCACAGATACCTCACAGCACAGGGCTGTGGGAGTGAGCAGAAAATTAGCAAATTAATTTCAGTGGGTAAAGTGTATAAGGGGAAATCATCCAGACTACTTATATCCAAGCTGTGCTCCAAGGGCTCTGAAGTATTATTTATGACTTAGGAATGTATCCTGGGTGGCACAGTCAACCAGTCATTTCCGTGAAAATTTCAATTTAGTGTGATGTTATAACTAAAAAAGACCAGCAAATATTAGGCATTACAAGTGAGACGTTACATGTGGATATGGAATGCTTGCATCTGGAATAACATTTGCTACCAAAGAAAATGGAGATTAAGAGGACCACTAAGGTGGTCAAAGGAATAGTGGGATAGATGATTATGAGTGACTTAAAAAATGGGACTCTTTACTATGGAAGAATGAGGGCTGAGAGTTTTAGAATAAAAGGAAATGCTACTAAGGAAACAGTATATGTATGAAAGTTATATAGGCTGAAAAAAAAGATGAATTAATGAATGATTGCATTTCACGATTGCATGGGATATGCTCCTATCTCTTTAACATTGGTCAGAAAGGGATTTTCCAGTGCTCTCTTTTGGAAAATTTCTGTCAGATATGGAATACTTGGTTCAGTGAATCTTAGATGTAGCCTAGTGTGGCCACTCTTATTCCCTTACCACCACAGAGCCGCTTGTGAGTATGCATAGAAGGGGAAGTCAGGCAGGGAGGAAAAGGAAGCCTGCCTGCGTTTCCCATCTTTTCCAGTTGGTCAGCAGCACAGGACGTGCACATCAACAGCTTCCCCCGTCAGGCCCTATACCACAGACTCCACCCCTAAGCGTCCTTCTGCCACCATCATCGCCTGGGAAGTCTTTCGTACTCGAGGCCTGAGTGGCCTTTATAGGGGTTTTGGTGCTACTCTCCTAAGGTAAGAGTTGGAGTCATCTTCTGGTTTGAACGTACCAGGCTCGATTTCCCAGCAACTGAACTGATCAGAGAGGGATAGGATCTTTGGTAGGCCATGTCAAGTGTTTTCCTCAGTTTCCCTTACCCCCATTTCCACCTTGGGATAGCTGATTGTCCTTATGCTCCATGTGTTTGCTGAAGGTCGATATTGGCAGGATCCTACCCCAAAGCCCGAAGACAATTTAAAGAATCTTTGCCTACTGACTGAGCCTGTATATTGCTAGGATATTGGTCTTTTTTGGTTTGTGGTATAAGCAATTTCCCCTCCTCTCCTACAGGGATATTCCTTTCTCGGTCATCTATTTTCCTTTTTTTGCCAACCTCAACCATCTGGGGATCAATGAAGCTACTGGGAAGGCCCCTTTTGCCCACTCATTTGCATCTGGTTGTTTAGCAGGTTCTCTGGCTGCTATTGCAGTGACACCCTTGGATGGTAAGAGTCTAGGTTAAACTGGTGGCTTAAGAGACAGGAGTAGGTCTGTTTGGGGTGAAGGGTAAGTCAACTTCAAGGTACATTTTAAAAATGTTTTTAGGGTAACAGTACTGAATAGCCTAATTCTGCAGCATCAGATTAGGAGAAAGTTACCATAAAAATTAGGGTAATGGGGAATTTAATATACATAGATGTTCTTCCATACTCCATAAAGGATGACCCCAGTATCCAACTTAGAACTACTGGAGGGACTTGTTAGGCACTGGAATTAAGAGCTGTGTTTTACTTTCAGCCAGTGACAGATCCTTTTCTGCCTTGGTTTCAACTTTTTACCTCTCAATAGACTAGTATAGATCAGGAAAAAAATAACCTGACAATTTTTAATCTGTGGTTAATGTAACAAGCAAGATAATGGGCTTCCCGCAGTGTTTCCTTCGGCTTTAGGGCTGTGGCTAGTTATGTCTCTTCTGAGGAAGTGCCTTGGGTCAACTGTCATGATTTTTTTTCTTTCTTGTTCGTTGGATCATGGAGTCAGGGAAACCCAGCAACTTAAGACATCAAAGGCAAGAAGTTTATGATTTTTTTTCTACTTGTTTTAGTTTTGAAAACTCGAATTCAAACTCTCAAAGGTGTGGGGGACAAAGCCTATAACGGGATCATAGATTGTGCCAGGTGAGGACTGTTTTCCTTTATGGACTGAGACTGGGTTAATTCTGTAATTTGACTTGAATTGTATATTCTGATTTTTGCATATCTTATCCCCAGTAGTTCCTACCCCCAAGGAACTTGATAATCTGTCACTTTTGCATCATTGTTTCCCTGGTACCTAGCACAATGCCTTGCACATAATAGGTACCGCTTAAACATTTAGTTGAACATAGAATGTTTTCCTGAGAACCAGCTTAGAGACCAGTCATTGCTTTGCCTTGTTGAGCCTTAGCATTTCCTCATTTCTTCCTACCTGAATAATCTGTTTTATTAAAAAAATGCTGGGACCTACCCATTCTCCTTCTCCCTTCCAACTCCTAGGGAAGAAAACAACTATTTTTGCTGCCTTTGACTGCCAGAGATAGTCAGTGGGAGGATCTTTTAGCCAGCTTCCTCTAAATAGTAATTCAGGATGACCTCAAGTATACAGGGTATGACTGCTGAATCACCAATTTGCTGATAATAGCCTGTGGAACAAGGTTTCCTGCTTAGGCTCCTCCTAACCCAAGGGAAATTACCTACCACAAGAAACAGTAATACAGGGATAGGATTCACTGCATCATGCTTGTATTATATTGTATTTTTGCTCTTTAGCTTACCAGGATCTTCTTTCTCTCCAGGAAAATCTGGACTCACGAGGGACCTGCTGCCTTTATGAAAGGGGCTGGTTGCCGGGCCCTAGTCATAGCACCTCTTTTTGGTATTGCCCAAGGTGTCTATTACCTCAGTATTGGGGAAACCATCTTGACATTTTTCTTTAGATCAAGCTAAAAAAGGACTCTCCAGCAGATATAACAATACTCCTTTAATTTAAGAGTTGCTAAACACTGAGAAATGGACCTGGTCACATTAATTCCTAGTTAAGAAGCTAGGAATTAATTTCAGACATTGGGGAAAAGAAAAATCAGAAGCTTAAGAGATAAGTATGGGAACCTATGTAACTAACTATACCAACTCCAGACCATGGCCAGTTCAAGGATCAGGATGACTACAGCTGATGAGCATTTTCTGGAAAAAAGTCAGTTCAGCTATATGCGTGACAATCCTTAAAGCAGTTACTGAGATCAAGTCTCAGCACTCTTGATAATTGATATTAAGAGGTACCAAAAAATTGCTTAAGATCTCATTCTATGAAAAGCTTGAGAGAACTAAACAGAGTGAATACTGGCTGTCATTTTTTCTAAAGCCAACAATCCTTGTATCTTATCTGAACAAAACAAACATTAAAACTAGCAATGAACAAAGAATTGGTACCAGTTTCTTTTTATCATTAATTACTTTTTATCAATGAATGAGCACTGCATTGGGTTTTTAGTTCTTCTACTATCAATGGGGGAGATCTTGGAAAAGTCATTTAGCCTTGCTTTAGTCATAATTGTTCAGAATTCCCTAAGTCCGCTATAAGAAAAAAATGAGCTTACAAATGTGTTCATTTCCCAAGAAGAAAGGACTACAAAAGCCAAGTCTTTCCCACACATCCCAAGACTACTGTAGCAGGAGAAAGATTGTAGAGGATGGTGGTAACATGCCCTTGAATGCAAATCCACCATAACTCACAATTTTAGCCTAAATGAATAAAAGTATTTTTCTACCAAATGTCTTAGAATCCTAAATGGGATTGTACCACATTACTATAGCGTATGAGATCGGACAGTAATCACAGATCTGGCACAGACTTTAAAAAAAAAAAAGGTTAACAGGAAATGTACTAATTTGTGAAGTAAATGCTCCAAAGTAGGTAGAAAGCTATTCTTTCTTAGATGACACCCTCAACATTTCACCTAACTCTCAAATCTGTGAATGTCCTGAATAAGAGATTATTATAGTTTGATCCACATAGTTTTTATTTTAACAAATAAAGCATATTCATATAGCTTGGGTTTTTGAATCACAGATATACCTGAGGAAAGCCTCTCAGCCCAAATAGTTGACAGGGGTAATACTATTAATGCAGGAGTGAATGCATGCTCCTTATGCATATTAAAGTAACCTACAGAAATAAAATACAAAGAGGCTATAATATACCTCACGTACACAGCTCACTCCAATCTAAGGCAGATCATAGAAGGATTCTCAGTGAAAACCATGCAACTGATATGTAATCCCCTTGTCCCCAGAATGTAGAGATCAGAACTTAGTCACATCTAGATGAACTAGGTTACTTGTTGACAATTTAAGTCCATAAATTCTCTCCCAAAGTTAACAAATAGGCTAATGGCATTCTATACAAAGGCTACTCCACTTAAGGACATAGGACAATGTCAGAGCATCAGAAAGGAGGAACATTCATAGTTGTTTCTTCAACTTTAGACACATAACTCATCAATACAGCAGATGGAATGGATCCCACCTCATCAGAGGCTTAATCCAAAAATTTCCTGTTGGCATTAGCACCAAACAAGGCCCCACGGACTTCTGGCATCACCTGCGAAGAGAAAGAACAGGGTTGTTCCCTCCTTTAATTCCCCCTTGAGTTCCAGTCCATTAATCCATACAGCATTCAGTAACTACTTTTTTTTTCAGTGCCTGCTGTATGCCAGATGGGCAACTAGTTGGTGCAGTGGATACGGTGTCCAGACTCATCTTTGTGAGTTCAAATCTGGCCTCGGACACTCACTAGCTGTGTGACCCCGGTCAAGTCACTTAACTCTGTTTGCCTCAGTTTCTTATCTGCAAAATCAGCTGGAGAAGGAATATTTATGTTAATTTTAGGTGACTGAGCACTACCAACTTGGGGTGGAGGAGAAGGTGCTGCTCAGGAAAATCAGGAAAAGCTTCTTTTAGAAAGTGGCACTTCAGCTGGGCTTTGAAGGAAGATTCTAAGAAGGAGATGAGTGAATGCATTCCAGCCATGGGGATGGATGAAAGTATGCATAAAAGGAAGTTATGTATGATAAACTTAGAAAGACAGGTTAGAGGCATACTCTGAAGGGCTTTAAATGCTGGAGAGTTTGCATTTTATCCCACAAGTAATGGGGAACCACAGGAAATTTCCACAAGAGTGATAATGGTGAAACTTGTTTTAGGAATATCATTTTGGCAGCTGTGAGAAATGGACTGGAGAAGGTAGAGAATACAGACAGGGAAACCAATTAGGAAGCTACCATAATAGTTCAGGCAAGAGATGGTAAGAGCTTGAATTGAGTAGAGGAAAAAGGAATAGGAAAGCAGAATTTGCAAGCTACCCTAAATAAAACCAAAACCTGTCCATCTCAACCAAGTTATTGGTCCTGTAAGGAGCTGGTGAGGTGTAACAAGTGGTAAACATAAAAATCTGCCCTTGACTGACAAGTATGCAAAGATTTGAATAAAATAAAGATCTCTTGCATGCAAAACCTGGTGAGTTAGAACTCTTATTTTGTTTGGGGCAAATGAGATATTGCTAACTGAAAACTGGGGGGGAAAGTTGCTCAATTCTTGATTTCTGGTTTTTTTTTTCCTACTAAGGAGAATGGAAATGACAAAAAAAAAGTGACCAACAGGTAGTTGCCTCAAGCTAAAGGAGGAGAAAGCTGCCCTGAATGAATCCAAGCCACCTGGCTCATAAGTTATACCATCGTATGTGTATATATGTTGTGAGTACACACACACACAGAGGTCCTAAAGAGTAGGTACTACAAATTGAAAATGGACAAATATCCTAATTTTCAAAAACAAGAAGAGAACAGTATGCCAAATACAGGCCAGTGAGCTTGATTTTGTTTGGCAAACATTTAGAAAAAGAGGCAGTGATTACAAGAGCCAGCCTGGGTTTCTTGTGGGCCACCTAGAAGGAACAAGCTGTCCCAGCCTATCCCTAGAATTCATGTCTCAGCCCAGTGAAAGCAAGGCCTCATTCCATGGCCCTCGTGAGGGTAACAGAAGGAGGATGAGAAAAGACTGGGGGATTCTTTGGCCATCCTAAGCCAGTTATCCTCATCCCAAGAATAATACCACCCTCTGGTTAGTGTAATTCCCAAAATGAGCAGGAATACTTATAGGGCTCATGGCCAAATCAAACTATACAAGTTGCCCTTGCCATACTGAGATTATACTTACTGAAAATGAACTGTTCCTAAGCCAGAAAGTTACTTCTCCTCCCCGCAAAAAAGATATTCGAAAAGAAACTGAAGAAACAAAAACTTCTTGCCAGTATAGCCTTCTTCAAAAACAAGTCATGCCAAACTAACCTCATTTCCTTTTTTGAAAGGATTACAAAACCAGTAGATGAGACGAATACTGTGGATATAGTTTAAGAGTTTAATAAAACTTTTAAGTATCTCAACCTATTCTTTCAGAGAAGATGGAAAGATATGGTTCAGATAATCTAACTGGATGAATTTGGGAACTGGTTGGATTGCCAGACTAAATGCTTCAATGTAAACATTGATCGACCTTCTCCAGGGGAGTACCTAAAGGATTTGTTCTTGGTACTGATGGGGGAGGCATGTAGAGATAGTGGTTCTGAAAAGATCTTGGGGTTACATGGACTGCAAGTTCAATATGAATCAGGAGTGTGATGCGGCAGGCAAAAATGCTAATGAGATCTTGTGTTGCAATGAGGAGGTGACCGTCTGAACCTGGGGAAATGAGTGGCAAAGAGGCACGTTTACTTGATGTAATCAGACCAACACAAAACTGGAATAGTGCTGGGTCGGGTCGTCTTCAGTCAGAGGCTGGGTAATCATTTGTCACATGGTCTGGCCGGACTAGGCAGCCAAAGAAGGTTTTTCCAACTCCCAAACTGTTATTCTCAAAGATAGTCATCCCATTCCCTCAAACTCTTATTTACCAGGTCTTCCATACATCACAATTCAGCTAAGTGTATTAGGTATCCATTAACACTAAAAAGACTTTACTAGAAAAATTTGGACTATTCTCCTACCAAGAAATGTTCCTACTGTAGGCCTGGGACCCCTTACAAATGCTTACAAGTGCAAGAAGGTTTAATGTGCGGGGTAACAGAAGTACAAATGATAAGACATGCCCAACATTGTTGGTGCCTCCATTAACTGTTTTAAGAAACCTTTAGAGTTAGACTCATCTTTCTTTTTTTTTTTTTTATATGAGGCAATTGGGGTTAAGTGACTTGCCCAGAGTCACACAGCCAGTGAGTGTTATGTGTCTGAGACCACATCTGAATTCAGGTCCTCCTGACTCCAGGGTCGGTGCTCTATCCACTGCACCACCTAGCTGCCCCTAGACTCATCTTTCTTGCTTTTGCTTTCTTGCCCTTCTTACCACACCCCTAGACTACCACAGACTCCTAATAAACCCTTCTGTCTCTATCTTCTACCCCTCCACCCCAACTCATCCTTCATACCAGACTCATCTACCTTATCTAAACACCTGGAGGACAGGGACAGTCTGGAATTCCCAGGTTTAGTTGGTTGGCTGGTTACTGTTCTTTGTTCTCAGAGAGGACCAAAATGGCATCACTATGTTAGAGTCAAGTTACAGTGTGTCTGACTGCGGCCGATCAGACCTATACGAGCTCGGAATGCTCTAACACAGGTCAGGCACTAGTAGTCCATGTGAATATCTGCGGTGGATTCTCTAAATTTATGCATCTCGCGTTTCTTTTGAGCCACTTCAATTCTGCTTTGCTCAGAGAGCACAGCACCTTCTCTGATGAGGGCACGCCGTGCTGGGCCGTCCTCTGCCAGTGTCTCCCATGTCACCCAAGCAATTCCAAAGTGCTTCAGAGTGCTTTTTAGCATGATGTTTTCAGACATGTTGCCCAGGTGCTTAGCAAATGCCTGTTAGGTCATCTTGAGCTACTTCCTAACACAGTATGCTAGCACAGTAAGACAAGTATTTGACTGGAGAGCAACTTGCATTCCTCAATGAGGAACAGGCCTCTGCCACGACTGCACATACTGCAAAGTATCCAGGAGCACCGACATATTCCCAGCTGGTTTTGTGGTGATCATTCAAGCCTGAATACTATTGATTTTTGGGAAGGAGATACTTCCCAAACAACTCCTCTCACTCCCAAGTGCACTGCTCAAAACTCCCTAATAGAAAGACTGCAGCAGCCACTCTCAAAGGAATATTTCCTTTATTTCCTTTCATTCCTACAAGAGGGGAACTTTGATTAGCATTTGCTACACAAAGCAAAATATTATGTATAATTAGAGCTCAAAAAGATCTCGAATCCTCTTTTATGTGAGAAGAAATCACCTCAGTACATGTGACCCAGTGCCTGATAATTATTCTCTTCAAGATCACTGCCTACATACAGCTCCAGAGACCCTTCTGTACTGACCTATTCTAGAAACAAAGTGACAAAACCCCAAATATCAGCGTCCCTCATTTCCAGACAAGCTGAGGACATTTGCTCCCTATGCCCCTCCCCACCAAAGCTTGAATTTGGTAAATAGGAAAAGTGAATATCAATGACTACTTCTACTTACCTGTTGGGCTATAAGATCCAATCTACTTTCCAGGGTATTAGAAACTTTTATTTTACGATCCCCATTATAAATTTCAACACCTCCAGCTCTGGAAAAAAGATAGTAATAATTTTCAGATTCAACAATATCTTTGACAAGATAGTATTTGGGCATAAAATACCAGCACTTTAAGAGAACCCTGCTCCTCTAAGCAATAAATAATATAATAACAAATTAGTGCAAAAAAGCACACAATGGGTATAAAATTACAGTACAAGTAGTATTTCACTTGATAAGTATTGAGTGAAAATAGTGTTGTCCGTTGCCAAGCAAGCAGAATAGGGAGGGCCCTAGGCGCTCTACTGCAATGGAACAATGAGTCCTGACTTAAAATCCACTTCTTCCCCCAGCATTCCACTTTGATCACTCCCAAGCCCTCAGGACCTCAGCACCTGCAGATCAAATTTTGTTATAGGAAACCCAAGGGCAAAACTGCTTTTGGTGCACAAAAATTCTTTAATATCTGATATCAGCTGGGACTTGGAAATTTTTGTTTTACAAACCTTTATTTTGTAATAATTAAGTTTTAATGAAAATTAATCTGAATATTATCTTTAAAATGTTTTAATCTGTTGTCTTGTAATTGTCTTGTAGTTATTTATTTCATCTGCCTTTGGTCACCCTGATTAGATTTGAGCTCCCTGAGAATGAAAGATAGATCTTTATTTTTCACTGCTGCTTCATTGTGTACAATGAAGGGCTCTCAACCGTAATCGCAGAGACAGTTCTAACAAAGAATGTGGAATGAGTTTAGGTCCCCAAGACCTGCTTTATAGCAGTGGGGATCACAATGCTGAGGACGCCTCAAGACTGTCCTTGCCATATCAGCATCCCATACTACAAAGGCGGTGAAGGCAACGAATCAGGCTCCACTGTCTTTATCCAGACACATCTTGTGGTCCACTCCAACTGCTTGTTGGCAGAAAGGGCCATCACAGTGATCTGATTTTATTTTATTTTATTTTATTTTTGCTAGGCAATGGGGTCCAGTGACTTGCCCAAGGTCACACAGCTAGTAAGTGTTATGTGTCTGAGGCCACATTTGAACTCAGGTCCTCCTGAACCCAGGTGCCCTATCCACTGCGCTACCTAGCTGCCCCCTGATTTTCTTTTATGATACACTGCTCAAGAGATTGTGTTATTTATTTCTCTTTTTCATTCCTTCTAGCACCTAGTGCACACAGCATTAGCATTTAGTATACAGTAGCTACTTGATTTCTACTTCTGCTTGGAGCTCTGTTTAAGGCACATATATGACACACACTTCTCTGCTGGATAACATCCACAGTTTATTCCCTAGGAAGCTGGCTTCTGGGATATCTCTCAAGTAATGAACAAGGGAGAGGAATATAAAAAAGCATACAAAGAAAAGCCACAGCATTGTTAGTTGTAAGCTCACTGTCCAATTCGACCATGGGGTTTTAAGTGGCTTGGAGAAATTATACCATAATAAATGTTAAGCAAAAGGATTCATCTTTAGTCCTTAATCTAGGGAGCTAGATATTAAAGCAATAATAGTGCTCCTTACATTTCTTCTGGCAGATATGCCTCCTGATCAACTTGGACATCAACATCTTTTGTGGTTGCAATCTTGTACATAGGGATTGCTTTTTGCACTGCAGCCTAGAAACCAAAAGACAATACTGAATACTGATTAAAGGTTTTGGCAGCAACTTTGGAGTATACACAAATAAGAAAACATGTGAATGTTCACTGTGATTGCAAAGGGCTGAATAAATGCTACTGTTTTTACACATCAAAAATTCAAAGTGTGAGAAGCACCTCCACTCAAGCAACCTCTCCATTTTCTTTAAGAATTAAGCCAACACTGTACTAGGCTGGAGATGTCAGAGATTTTTATCATTTTACTTTTGTATCTGAAATTTCAGTTATTAATTATAGAATAAAGATGTAAATTATTGCAATATATTTTATTGATTTTATGTTAGCTTACAAGTATTGCTTATTTTTGTTAAGTAATCTACTTTCTGGGAAAAAAAGGTACTACACAGTAGGAGACCAATGTGCAGTTAGATTTTTAGGACCACTCCACTGTAGGGCACCAAAATAGTAACAGAGAATATGTTCTATCAATAAACCTTTATATTTTTAACTGTTTGTTTTGCCTGAGTGAGCCCTCCTACATACTGATTTTTTGAATTTCATATTTTTCTGTAACAGACTGACTCAATCCCACTGCTAAGTTAAACCCATCTTAAGGGACCAGTCATTGATAATAATTGAATGCTCCAGAAAAAAATATATAGTTTTTCCCCCAGAGATGATAGTAAATACAAATACTTTCTACATGCCATGTTTCAACGCCCCTGATTCAGGGTAGCTGGAAGTCCAAACAGTTCCCTCTTAAAGAAAGAAAGTGTTCGTTAGGAACTATGCCCAAAGGGCTACAAAAATGTGCATACCCTTTGATCCAGCAATAGCACTTCTAGGGCTATATCCCAAAGAGATCAAACAAATGGGAAAAAGACCCAAATGTACAAATATTTTCATATGTACAAAAATATTCATAGCAGCTCTTTTTGTGGTGGCAAAGAATTGGAAATTGAGAGGATGCCCATCAACTGGGGAATGGCTGAGCAAGTCGTGGTACATGAATGTAATGGAATACTATTGTGCTATAAGAAATGATGAACAGGCTGACTTCAGAAAAACCTGGGAAGACTTGTATGGTCTGATGTTGAGTGAAGTGAGCAGAACCAAGAGGACTTTGTACACAATAACAGCCACGTTATGCGATGACTAACGTTGTTAAACTGAACCATTCTCAGCATTACAAGGATCTAAGACATCTCCAGAGGCCTTGGGATGGAAAATGCTGTCCACATCCAAAGAAAGAACGATGGAAGTCGAATCGCTCTCACTTATTTTTACCTTCTGTTGAGTTTTGTTTCATCTTTCTGATGGTTCCTCCTATTGGTTTTAATTTTTACTTACAACTTCACTAATGTGAAAATATGTTTAATGGGTATGTAAATGTAAAGCCTATATCAGATTGTGCGCTGTCTTGGGGAGGGTGGGGGGGAGGAAGGGGGAGAAAAATTTTCAACTCAAAAGCATATGGAAGTGATTGTTGATAAATCAAAATAAATTAATAAAATTTAAAAAAAACAACAACAAAAAAGAAAGTGTTCTTCTCTTATGAGCATCATATTGTTTACCTTGACCAGAGGGAGATCTTCTTTCTTGCAACGGACAATCATTCGTGGCTCCAGCAACTGGTATAAACCCTGTACAAGATAAGAATAAATAGAACTGGCAGAAAATACAAAATAAAATCTTCAGACAGCAAAAGCAAGAGAAGAAAGTTTTTCTGGCACTCATTTTATGTAGCTTAGGAAAAAAGATAAATAAAAGTTTCCGAGAGATAACAGTATTTACATAAACAATAAAAGTGAAGTTAAGATTTTATTTGGTAACATAAAAATGCAGATAAGAGAGTTAGGCTAAAACAAAACCCAGTTTTCGTTTTTTATTGGCTACAGGCCATGAAAGAATAAGTCTTACTGTAATTAAGATACTATAATTAAGATAATTATAAGATATAGTGTCAGACAATGAATAAGCACATAGATTCTTTGGTCAAACTGTCAAAAGTCAACATTTATAGTAAGGGTCTGTGACACAAACTAGAAGTTAGAACTTGAGTGTTGTGAGTAAACTTTGCTTGAGTTATTTAGCATAAATTTGTAGGAAAATGCCATCAGGACCATTATTAGGCTAGATAGCACAGATTTCCATACTAGATAAGGAAAAGGAAAAAAAAATTAAAGGAAAGCTTTATTAAAAGAAAGTTGACAGAAATGAGATTATTTCATGATTACTAAGTTCTTTCTAATACTAAAGGAGGTAGTACTTAGTAAAAAGTTCTAGGAAATGTTTTCTAGAAAGGGTGGGGCCTCTGGCCATATTATATAGTAGACAAAATTACCTGAAGGACTAGACCATCCAAAAGCACCTGATACCTGGTTGTGTCTTTCACTACCTTGGAGAGTCTCTGCTTCGCTTCAGTTAGTAAGTCCTGAAGAGAAAGAATAAAGGAATGGGGAAAGTCATTTTCAAATCCTGAAAAAATACTCCACATGCCTGAAGATGAGGCAGCTGGTGGCACAGTGCACAGAGAGTGCTGGCTCTGGAGTCAGGAGAACTTGAGGTGAAATCTAGCCTCAGACACTTAGTAATAACTGTGTGAGCTTGGGCCAGTCACTTAACCCTATTTATCCGTTTGCTCATCTGTAAAACGAGCTGGAGAAGAAAATGGAAAATCCCAAATAGAGTTATGGAGAGTTGGACATGACTGAAACGACTCCATAACAATTATCAATCCTCTTTTAAAGAATAGTTTATTTTAATTTTTTAATAAGTATTTTTAAAAATTTCTTCCTCCTGCTACTGTCCCATTGCATAAATTGTTCTTATTTCAACTTTTTTTACTTTTAATCAGTTCAAAAAGGTCTTCTCAATTTCCATTAAAATTATTCATTTTATCATTTATGATAGCACAATAATAGTCCATTATATTCATGCATCATGATTTGTTTAGTTTTTCTCCAAACAGAAGTCTTCTTCATTTTCAATTTTTAGCTACCACAAAATTAGTTGCTATAAATACGTTTATATATATTCCTCTTTCTTTCATAGGCTTAGTAGAGCTATACCTGGGTCAAAGGGTATATATACACTTTGTTAACTTTCTGGACCAATTCACAGCTCCACCAACAGTAAATCAGTGTACCCTTTTTTCCCACAGCCCTAACAACATTTGTCATTTTCCTCTTTTGTCACCTTTGCCACTGTCATAGGTAGGTATGAGGTGGATCCTTAAAAGTTGCTTTAATTTGGATTTCTATAGTTATTAGTGACAGTATTTTTTCATGATTATTGAAAGCTTGGATTTCTTTCTTCGAAAACTCTGTTCATTTTATCATGGTCTTCCTCTATCTAAAAAAACTGAAAAGCAAAGTCTTCCTTATTCCTCTGATTTGTTCCTGTATCCATTTTAGAACTTACCAGAATGCTTGTCTAGTTTTCCTATCAGTTTTTCTCCTGAGTAACTATAATTTTCAGGTTTATCAAACACTATGCTATTGTATTTGTTTGATTCTGTTTGTTGTATACCTAAACTCTTCCACTAATCACCTCCCTCTTTTTTGAAATAGTACTAAATCATTTTAATAATTACTGCTTTGTTTTCTTGCTATGGCTAGCATTTCTAGCACTATGTTAACTAGCACTGGTGATATTTACTGGATTCCTTACTGGAAAGGCCTCTAATTTTACCCTTATTATATATAATGTTTGTTCTTAGATTAAGACAAATATTATTTACTATAGTAAGAAAAAGTCTTTATTCCTATAAGTTCTGAAAATCAATGGTGAATTTTGTCAAAAGCTTTTTCACTATCTATTGGTATAATCGTATGCTTTTTCTAAAAAATTATTTGCTATATTCTTTCTCATATTGAACCAACTGGGAAGAGCAGTCTTGGTGTAAACCAAACCTGACCATAGTGAATAATCTTTTTAATATGTTGTCACAGCTTACTTACTAATATTTTGTCTGAAAATTTCTGCATCAAATGTTTTTGGGAATACTGGCCTGTATTTTCTTTTCTATGCTTTGTCTCTTCCTGCCTTTGGTATGAAGACTAGAAGTATGCCTTATCTTCTTATTACTGTAAACAGCTTAGATAGTATTGGAATCAAATTGTTCTTTCAATGTTTGATACTCACTTATAAATCCATCTGTTCCTGTTTTTCTTCTTTGGTAGTTCATTTATGGTTTATTCAATTTCTTTTTGGTTAAATAGTATATTTCTTCTTTCATTGAATATTTTATATTTTTGTTAGTATTCATTCATTTTCTCCCCACCAGCTTTGACAGTAGGGCAAAAATCATTTCTGATTATTTCCTCTTGAATCGTTGTAAGTTCTCTTCTTGATATGAAAAATTTGACTTTTTTTTATTATCAGGTTGGTAACTGCTTATTTATTTTACTAGTCTACCCCCCAAAAAGCCCCCCAACAGATTCTAGATTTATCAATTCAATGGGCTTTTTGCTTTCAGGTTTTTTTGGTGTGTTTTTGTTTTAGGCAATTGGGGTTAAGTGACTTGCCCAGGGTCACACAGCTAGTAAGTGTCACGTGTTTGGTCTGAGGTGGCATTTGAACTCAGGTCCTCCTGACTTCAGGGCCAGCACTCTATCCACTGCACCACCTAGCTGCCCTTTTAGTTTTATTAAACTCTTTAACTTTCAGATTTTTCTACTTTCTTACCTAGTTGAGGATTTTTTGATGTTTTTCAAGTTTTTAAAATTTCATACCCAATTCATTTTTTCCCTTTTGTTGATAAAAATACTCTAGATATATATTTTCTTCTAAAACTGCTTTAGCTGCATAAATCTAATGTGTTCTCTCACTGTCATATTATTTGATGAAATTTTCTATACTTTTTTCTTTGATCCCATCAGTTCTTAGAATTATATTTAGTCTCCAATTTCTTTTTAATTCTTTAAGGACCTCTTATTGAATCTAATTTAACTGCCTAAAGAAATAAAGGCTTGGGGCGCAGTGAATAGAGCACCAGCCCTGGAGTCAGGAAGACCTGAATTCAAATCCAGCCTCAGACACTTGACACTTACTAGCTGTGTGACCCTGGGCAAATCACTTAACCCCACTGCCTAGCAAAAACCGAAAACAAATAAATAAAAAAGAAATGAAGGCTTTAGTATTTCTGCTTTTCTATATTTTCATGAGGTCTTTATGGGACAGCTAGGTGGCACAGCGGAGAAGAGGGTTGGGCCTGAAATCAAGAAGACTCATTTCCACTGAGGAGGCTTTTCTTTTCTGTCTCTCTGTCTCTCTGTCTCTCTCTCTCTTTGGTGGGGGGGTGAGGCAATCAGAGTTAAGTGACTTGCCCAGGGTCACACAGCTAGTGTCAAGTGTCTAAGGCCACATTTGAACTCAGGTCCTCCGGACTTCAAGGCCAGTGTTCTATCTCCCGTGCCACCTAGCTGCCCCTAAGAAGACTCATTTCCCTGAGTTAAAAGTCAGCCTCAGACACCTACTAGTTGTATGAGCCTAGGCAAGACACTTAACCTTGTTTGCCTCAGTTTCCTCATCTGTAAAATGAACCGGAGAAGGAAATGGCTAACCGCTCCCATATCTTTGCCAAGAAAACCCCACATGGAGTTGTGAAGAGTTGGACTCAACTGAACAACAAAACCATCCTGAAAGTCACTCCGTTTTGTAACCTCAGAAACCTAAACTCTTCCTTCTTCCTCATTCTCCATAATCCAATCAGCTGCCAAATGACTGTGTTACTACTCCTCTAAACAAGAGTCTTCTGTGGATCCCTAACTGCCTCTAAGATAAAAATACAGATTCCTCAGTTTGGCCTTCAAAGCCCTTCTGAAATAGGCTACAATGAATATCCCCATATCTGTTTCACGTGACTCCTCTCACATTCCTGTTAACCAGATCTGACATCTTATCTGTCGCCGCCATGCCTTTGTACGGACTATCATTAGTGCTCACAATGTACTGTCTTCTCCCCTACTTCAAAGAGTCCCTAGTTCCTTGCCACATCATACCGTGATGTTCCCTTCTCAAATTTCCTTGTATGTATCTGTTTACTTGTTTGTAAGCTGCATAAGAGATGTTTTTTTGTTTTTATCCTTGTATTTTCAGCAACTAGGACAGTGCCTTGCACATAGCAATTTAATAAATGCTTGCTGAATTAAATTAAAGATATGATGTCCCATAGCAGTTTATTCCACTTTGAGACAGCTCTGATCATACACAAGCTTTCTTGCAAAGCAAAATTTTATCTCTTCAACTTCTACCCACTGCTCTTAGCAAGCAGAACAAGTATAACCACTCTTCCAAATGACAGTGCTTCATAAAGCTCTCTCTCCTGCCTTCGCGCCCCCTCCCCCAAAGGCTTCTCTTCCTCAGGTCGCCCTTCCCTTGCCCCCCCACTTCAAGATTTTCATCTTCTCTAGATTATCTCCAGCACATCAATTTACTTCCTAACACATGGCAACCAGAACTGAACACAATATGCCGTATGTTCAAGGCAGAGTACAATAAGACTACTAGTTCCCTAATCTCTGGACATTATCCAAGAATTTAATGACAAACACAAACATTTCCATATACAGAAAACAGGCAATGAGGTTTATATATAAAACAATGAGTTTCTATTATCTACATCTTGCTCTTTTCTAAAGTATATTTTTCCAAGACAATTCCAAAGGACTCATGATGGAAAATGCAAACCACATTCAGAGAAAGAACTGATGGAGCCTGAAAACAGATTGAAATATACTATTTTCAGCTGCTTTATCTTTTTTTCGACTTTTTCCTTTTGGTTTATTTCTTCTTTCACAACATAATGAATATGTTTTACATGACTGCACATATATGAAAATTATTTAAAACTCTTGTTAAGGAGGGGAGGGAGGAAGAAAATTTGAAACTCAAAAATTTTTAAAAATAAATGTTAGAAATTGTCTTTACATGTAATTGGAAAAAAATAAAATACTATTTAAAAAAAAGAAAGGTACCATTTGGCATACAAAACCAAAAAAAGTATATATTTTTTAAAAAGCATATGTTAAATTTAAGACAATAGTACCAACACTGTCCAGACTGTCTCGAATTCCATTCTGAACTTCCTTCTACTTTCTTCCATGTATTTAAGGCTTCACTGATATTTCTTTTTTTTGCATTATCATAATTACTACCTATTACTTTGACTCACAAATCTTTTCTCCCTTCAAAATAAAAGCCCTCTCCTAAAGTACAGTCAAGCAAAACAAATTCCCAAACTGATTACATCTGAGAGTATATTGCTTTGCACCTATGGTCCATTATCTCATTGTTAAGAAAGGAGGAACATGTTCTATCCTTTAGAATAGAGGTTGGCAACTGAACTGATCCAAATTCTTACATCTTTCTTCAGTTGTTTTTCTTTACGTTATTTTATATATTGTTCTTGAGGTTATGTTCATTTCATTCTTCATCAGTTAATCATCATCCTTTCTGCCATTTCTTACCACACAATAGTGATATTCCACTACATTCATAAACAAAACTTGCTGAATCATCCCCCAATTGACAGGGTATTCACTTTATTGCCAATTCTCTGCTCCCTCCTGGTTTCCTTCAAAAACCAGCTAAAATCTCACCTTCTAAAAGAAACCTTTTCCAATTTCCCCTCAATGCTCATATCTTCCCTCTGTTGACTATCTCCAGTTTATCATCTATATATCTTATTTGCAAGTTGTTGTCTGTGTTTTGTTTCCACTATTAGACAGTAAGTTATTGGAGAGCAGGAACCTTCTTTTGTCTTTTTTTATATTGTTATCAATTAGTATGGTGCATGACACATAGTAAGCACTTATGACAAAAGATGGTAATGGCTAATGTCGGAGAGATTGTAGAAAAATAAGCACACTGGTGCGCTGTTGGTGGAATACACACTTACATAGACAACACATACAACACTCTCCTTTTTCTTCTTTGAGATAGGTGACAAAGTAGTGGTACTGCTGGGTCAAAGGGTACGCACAATTTAATGACTTGAAGCATATTCCAATTTATATATTTCATTATTAACTGGGAATATTTTTACATATGGTTGATACCCTGCTTCTCTTCTTTTTAGAGCTTCTTGTTCATAATCAATTGAATCTACTGAGAAAAGGTTCTTGATTTTTATGTACACATAATATATGCATATATATACATATATATGTGTGTGTATACACACACACACACACTCCACCATCTAAAACAATTAAGTTATCAAAGGATATGTTATGAAAAGTATTTCTACAATAAACTAGATCTTCTTCAGCATTTTCCACTTCTAAGAGGATTGTGTTCAATAAATGGAACAAAGAAATAAACTAGATGTTCCAAATTATAAAAACTAGTATTTGATCATAACTATGTGAATGTGGTAAAACACTTGGCACTAATACTAAACAATGTTATGGCATTTACATCATAAACTTCGTCGACACTTTATAGCATAGCTCTGTGATCACTCCTTCCAATGCTGCAAAGTGCAAACCATCCATGCCTTTTCATCTTATAATACTCTTGTCTATTTACTCCCAATGTACTAGTTCTTCCTCAACGTCTCTTGACAACGCATGGGTACCAGTGAAGCATGCAGGCTATCTATATTATTCTCCACTCTTGCTGCATGACTGACCATTTCTGCTAGCTCCTTTCTTTGTTATCTTTTGACACATCTCTTGCACAATTCTTCATCTGTAATAAATTCACAAACCTCTAACACTTCGAATTTTATAAATGGCACCTGCAAGAAAGTTACACCTTTTGTGTCACTGGAGAATACTGTAACTAACTACATTAACTATGACCAAAAAGGATTACTATTCTTTAAAGTAGTTAATGAACTAGGTGAGTCAATCAACCTAATTTGATAAAGGAATTCTCTTCTAGGGGGAAACTACCACCATTCACAGAAGGCTAAAAATTGTTTAAGACATAAATTATCAGCTGCTTGGAGCTATGAACATTTTGTATTTCTGTTCCATTAGACAAACTAAATTAGCTATAATTTCTTCCCATCCTCTGAGCTCAGCAGCAGAAAAGATGAATTATACAATTTAAGGACTGGTCAGCAAGTCAGTGATAAAGGATTCTAATTTGAGAGCTGTTCTCTATAATTTGAATGGCAATTATAGAAATTCTTTTGCTAAGTTACTTATATTTGACCTAAACATATTTGACATTCCATCTGTTTAAAAATCAAATCATCAACTATTTAATGGAATAAACTGGGTCAATTCAATCCCTATCAAAGCAAAGTACATTAAAAAAAATTACCACAGGGCTAGATACTCACTGAGATAAGGTTGTCTCTGGCTCTGAGGACTTTCAATCTCGCCTGATTCATCAAGTTGGACATCTGACTGGAAGTTGCATGGAAATATAAGAGTCAGTACAGAGTGCTTTTAACAACAGCAGCAGGAGCTGCTATACATTCTGGACAAAGAGTAAATGCTTTTCTCACTAAAGACCAACTGCAGCTTTACTGGAGCTAATATTTACCCATGTTTTGCCCAATGATTTCAGTGAGTGCCATTACTAAAGTTCTTTACTCACAAGTGGGAAAGTTTATTCAACAGACCAGGAAGCAGAAGCTACTTACATTTTCTTCTGCTGCTCAATTTGTTTCTCCTTCTTTTCATAATACTCCATTATCTTCAGTCTCTGCGTTTGCACAAGACGACCTTTCTCAATGTTGAACTCTTCTTCTGCCTATATGGAACCAACTTACATTCAGATAAGAGGCACTAATTACTGACAAAAAAAAAAAAGTTCCAACATGGCAGCAAACCTGTTGTCCAAACTCCTAAGTAATGTGTGTTTTGTCATAACTATGTCATTCAATGTGGAAAATTTGAAATTTATTCTGCCTCATCTCATTAGAATTTGCTTTTTTAGCTTTAATAATCTGAAAAATGAGAGACAGATAATTCTCTAATACATACAGGAAAGGCAGTGTGAGGCAGGAGGAAACATTGAACTTCAGTGAGACTGGGGTTCAAATTCTGCTTCTAACACTTTACTAGTTAACTTCTGAACCTTAGTTTCTATATCTGTAAAATGGAGACAATACTTATAAGCATTAACCTTATAAAATTAGGAGGATCAAATGAAAAATATTATGTCAAGTGCTTTGCAAACCTTAAGATATATAAATATCAGTTATTATTAAGAACAAAGATTAACTGATCTTGAGAAACTAAAAATATTTGATCAAGAATTGTATGCAAATTAGGCTGCAAAACATTCTCTCCAGAGAAGAGATGAATTTTCTTTCAAGAAAAGTAAAATGGGGCAGCTAGGTGGCACGGTGCATAGAGCACCTGCCCTGGATTCAGGAGGACCTGAGTTCAAATTCGGCCTCAGACTCATAACACTCACTAGCTGTGTGACCCTGGGCAAGTCACTTAACCCCATTTTCTAGCCAAAAAAAAAAAAGTAAAATGTTAAAAGTTCTCATTCAAATTTACTTTTCTCGTATAAGGCCATAAATTCTGATTTTTCCTCCTATTCTGTCTATCTGAAGTCCATGAATAACAACTGAAATTGAAGATTTGAAAAAATGAGCTAAAATTTATAATTAAAATGCCTTAGTATTTAAAAATAGCAATTGAGTCTTCACGTTCTGAAACAATCACACAAAAAACCCAACTTAACAGCTTATCTCCTTTCCCATCAGGGTAGAATAAAGATGTTGCAGATGATGCTGAGATTTCTATATCTGAAGAACATCAGATGGATAATGGTCCAAGAAGAAATGAACGTTGTAATTGGTAAAATAAAAAAGGCCGTAGCATGTGTGATCATCAAAACACCATCACACAACAAGAAAATCTTTTCCTAAAATTGTACTGTCGAGTTAGTCAAATGTATCAGAAAATTTGAGAGTGATTTTCTTTTTCCTGTGTCTATAAAACCCAACATGGCCAATTTTAAGGCTGCATCTGTTCGTTGGGACAGTGATACAGATGACAGTCAATGGTTGGCCTTGGAGATGGGAAGATGGTAGGTTTATGTCTTGCCTCTGATACATACTATCTGTGACACTTAAGCTCAGTGTGTCAGAAAACATTCAAAGAGTAATTACAGAAATTACAGATGGAATTCACAGCAGGAATTCCCTGAGCACAAAAAAAATTGGGAAGTTAACTTCCCTTAAAGCCAAGGCTTTAACAAGGTACAACAAAATGTACCTTTGATCCTATTGTCTTCTCTAGCTAACCGCCTCCACCATCATCTCTACTTCTTCATTTACCATTCTCCTCTTTAGTCTCTTCCAATATACCTACTATCTCCCCCCTCTTCAAAACACCTTTGCTAGATGTGATCATACCCACCAGCTAACCATTTATCTTTCTTCCTCTTCTCAACTAACGTCCTTGAAAAAGCAAACTATTATCTGTGCCTCTACCATCTCTTTTCAAACTCTCTTTTAAACTCTGGCTTCTGACTTCGACTGAAACTGCGCTCTCCAAAGTTACCTCTTCTTAATTCCCATACTTCTCTGCCAATATTTGACACTACACATCATCTTCAACTCCTACATACTCTCTGTGGCCTAAGGTTTTGACACTACTCTCTACTTTCTTCATCTGATCATTTCTTTTCTTTTCCTCAATATCATCCAGAACGCTCACTAAAGGTTAGTGTCTCAATAGTAAAATACGGAGAATAATGGCGTCTACCTCACATGGTTATTGTGAAGATCAAATGAGATAAATTTGTAAGGAATTTAGTAAGTGGCTAACAGATAGCATGTTTAAATAAGGCTCAGTCCCCTCTTTTCTTTCAGTGTTTTCTCACTAGATAATCTTATCACTTCCCATTGTTTCTATTTTTCCAGCCCAGTTTTTCTCGAGGGCTCCAATCTTGCATCACCAACATCCAAAAGGACATTTCACACTGGATATCTCACATGTATGTCAAATTCAAAAATGTCCAAAAGTGAGATTTCCCCCCAAAATCCTCTAGTGGTTTGAACTTCCCAATTATTGTTAGGTATCATCTTCAATTCTTCACTTGTACTCACCCCACAATCCGCTGCCAAATCTTTCTACCTTCACAGCTACCATTCTCTCCACTCACACCCTAGTGCAGGCTCTCAGCTACAATAGTCTTCTAATTAAATTCCCTATCTCAAATTTTCTCCCTCTCCAATCCATCTTCCACCTAGATGCTAAAGTGATTTTTCTGAAGTGTAGATCTAAAACTGTCCCTCACTCTCCCCCACCACATAAATTCCAGTTGCTTTCTCCTACTTCCAGGAAGCACCGAAAGCTCTTTATAACCTAGCCCCATCTTCATATATTCTACTCTTGTCTGCAAATTCTCCCACCTAACCGTATTGGCTTACTTGATGTTTCTCATCACGTGACTATTAAAATCTATGGTTTCCTTTTAGGGTTAGCTCAAGGGCTGCCTACTCCAGGAAGACTTTCCTGGTCACCCCAGCTGCTAGTGACACTCCCTCCTAGCATCCATCTACTATATATTTATGTTCTGATTAATTTATGCTGAATGCAAAATCTTTTTTGCTTTTTCTTTGTAACAGCTTGGCTTAGCATTTGGCATTTTGTAAGCACTTAAGAAATGCTTGTTGGTCGATTAAAGCAGGGGTTCTTAACCTTTTTTCTATGTTATGGACTCCCTTAGCAAGCTGGTGAAACCTATGGACTCTTTCTCAGAATGTTTTTTGGGGGGGTTTGTTCTGTTTTTTAATGAGACTTTATCATGGCAATTTAATTTCAGATGTTTCCTGTTTATAGGAGAGGAAAAAAAGCTGTCTTTTATGCTACTAATCATACAATATTTATCAGGTGGCTCATTTTCATTAGTTTATTTGCATACTTTCCACATGGAACTTTTATGCATTTCAATAAGTTTAACAGGATTACCAAGGAAACCAATTATATTGAAACAGAAACAAAATATTCATAGTGCAAGCATGGCTGTTCGTTTCTGGTTTTCAGAAGTAAAAAATCTACATTTATCTGATTTCCATTAAAGGAATCCTGAGGTATTTCTCATAGCCTAAATTAATTTTCAAGGAAAAAAAAGATAATGCTTACAAAACTGTTTTCTGTATACAAAGACCACATTTTTCCTGGTCCTATAGGCTATGGTCTATTCAAAGGCATTAAATGCCTAAATTCCAAGTTTCCATAGGAAAATTACTCCTCTCTGATGGCCTTATCAGAGCATTTGCAACTGAGAATTTCTAGTAAGCTGATTTCTGAACTTCACTGACACTTAACAGCGTAAATGCTTATATCCCCTAAATCAACTAGTTGTATAAAGAATAAAAATATACTTATACTGCACTAAAAAGCATTAATCTTACCTTTGCATCTATTTCTTCGGCCTTCTCATTTGCTTCCTGTTCGATGAAAGCCATCATGTGTTTGATCTATATGAAGAAAAAAATCAGATTTTTTTTTTTGGCTCAAAAATATTTTAAAGTACAGCACCTTTCCTTTCACATCCAAATCTGAAACACTTTAAACAACTCTCTACAGTCTTGGGTGAGACTCTAGGCCAACCTATTTAATCAAATTTATTGATAACAATTAGGCCTAAAATCAGTAACTAGTAAATTAAAAATTAAAAAAGAAATTATCTACTAACTACTTTTTTGGGTTTTTTTGCTTTGCTTTTCGGTGAGGCAATCGGGGTTAAGTGACTTGCCCAAGGTCACACAGCTAGTAAGTGTTAAGTGCCTGAGGCTGGATTTGAACTCAGGTCCTTCTGACTCCAAGACCAGAGCTCTATTCACTGCAGCACCTAGCTGCCCCTACTAACTACTTTTTTTCCCCTAGATCATTATGTCCTATAACATAAATACTTTGTAGAAGTACAAGGTAGCCGGGAAACCCTTGTGGATTTAACTCTGGAAACAGTATCACACTACTTATTTCTTTTTGTTGTTTTGTTTTGTTTTGTTTTTTAGCTAGGCAATGGGGTTAAGTGACTTGCTAGTACGTGTTATGTGTCTGAGGTCGCCTTTGAACTCAGGTCCTCCTAAATCCAGAGACGAGCCACCTAGCTGCCCCCGCCTTTTTTGTTTTGTTTTGTTTTGTTTTCTGACACTACTTATTTCTTGAGGCATATTCTACAAAGAATACATTATGAACATATTTTGACCATCTGAATATAATAACATTCCTGCATATTGAAGTAAACCAGGAATACTACCCAAGGGATCCTAAGTCTCAGTAAACAGATATCTTTAAAAGTAGGCTTTTCATATATCTAAAAAATCTATAAAATATCTATATAATTATGAAACTTTTGTACCTTAAACATGAACAAAAGACTTTAAGTTCCAATTTTCAGGCATACAATATCATCACTCTTAAGTTTATTATACTTGTGGAAAAATACTGTGACTGTAAGAGGGACCTCTTCAAAGACCTTGAGGATATGACTGGTGCTATTCAATTTGAAGCAACTCGTTCAGCCTGCCTAGTGTCTGAGGTTTTAAATTGCCTTAACTAACACAACAACAACCAAAAAAAAAAGTAGGTATTTATAAATGCTACAGAAACCTTGTTTAACATGATATTGTCCCCTGGCTCAAACCTGCATTATCTGCCTTCATTATTTGAAGGACTCTGCAACTGGTTCTGACTAGATCAGTGCAGATCTCTTAAGAGTCCGGGGCACTGTCAAAGAGGACAATGTGTTCTATCTCAGAGATTTGTTGGAAAGAAAGTTTAGCCAAAGGGATGCGTACATTCTAGCCTCAAAGCAGAAAATTCTGGCCTTCTCAAAGATAACAATCCTCTTCTCTTTACACAACCGTAAATTCACTGTAGAATAAACCTAGACAACAGACATTTTCCTAAGCAAAAAGAAGTTCCCTAAACAAAACATGCAAAATAGAATTTGTTATATTTTAACAACAAAATATTTTCATATAATAGCAATCTTTTAAAAAATTACTCAAAAAAGCATTACACAACTAAAATATAAATTTAACACCCAATAAATCATAAATGTTGACTGAATTAAATAATTTATTATAAGAGCAAATGAAATAACATTTGTAAAGTATTTAGCCACTTAGCCTGGCACACAGTAGGCACTATATAAATGCTTGTTCCCTTCCCCTTCCCCCCCCCAGTAATAAAGCAGTTTATAGACAACAAACTAGATTCTCTGTACCCAAATACCTTTACATTTCAACACCTGTCACTTGGCAGAAACAAATAGGAAAATGAATTGATTCTTTGGGAGTAAATCTTCTTTAACAAGAGAGACTTCTGGGGATCTGGGGGAGGAGAGGAGAATAGCCTTCAAATCTTAGGTTAATTAATTAATCAAAGATTCTTAGGTTTAATTAATTAAAGATTCAAAGACTTTTGGCTCCCTTCAGTAATTAAGAAAACACTCCCCTTGTTACCTTTACTCTATACACCCCCTTCATTTTCATTTTCAATTTTTCAATTCATTTTCAATGCATACCAATACAAGATTTTCTGTAAGTTTTTCTCAACTAAATTTTAATTAGAAATCAGCAGCAGTTAAGGCTAAAAAAGACTGCTCTCTCTCTTACTTAATGGAGTAACAATCAAGATAGTAAAGAATATATAGTTTTATTTCCAAGCCTGAGAGAAAAAAATTCCATATTCCAATGTGGTTTTAGCCCATTCCTCATCCAGCAGATTCACCAATCTGTGAATATCAGTCAGATAATCCTCCAACTACCTCAAAATATGGCAGCTCAGGGGCTTAGCTCTAAATTTGTTTCTACCATTTACCTGCTAATATGATCTTAGTTTCCTTGTCTGTAAAAACCCTTTTGGCAAGGGTACTTAACTGAAAGGACACTGGTTCCTCACTGCTATGAACTCAAATGGAAATTACTTATAGGTCTACCCTTCTTTTTTCTAAAAGAAATCACCAAATGATACAGACAACGCAAATATTCTGAAGTGTTGTTTTTGAACTCACAAGGTAGGTTTTAATAGAATTAGAGAATGTTATGAACAGAAGGGACCTTGGAGATCATCCTTAATCTTTTTCGTGCCATAGCTCCCCTTTGGCAGCCTAGTATAGCCTATAGACAGACCTTTCTCAGAATGTTTTTAAATCCATAAAATAAAATACGTAGGATTACAAAAGAAACCAAGTTCATTAAAGTTAAGACTCTTCGATCTAAACCAATCCTCACATCTTACTGAAAACCAAATAGTCCTAGTGTCTTGCCCAAGATCACGAGGCAGAGATAAAAAGAGAACCCAGGTCTCCTGATTCCCAATCTAGTGCTCTTCCCACAATACTTCCTTTTTTCTTGCAAATTAAGTGTAGCAACGGCGGAACACTTTAGGATTGCTCTACCGGGAAACCCGACAAATTTGACAGAATCACACTTAAAGCCCCAGCAAAGCTAAAAAATCCAATCGGAGATGAACAGGGCGAATTTCTAATCCCTGAAGAGAACACCCCTTTCCCCTCCCTCTGCCCCCTACTAAGCAAACACCCGCGGAGCCGGGTACGCAAAAGGGGCCTTGCGTTCGCCGGGAGAAGAGTCGTCATCGGTCCCAAAGCCTCAGATCCAGGGCAGGATAGGGGCTAAGTCCCAGGAGGTGGCAGAATTACTGCAGTCAACGACCTTCCGCACCTCGCCCTCCCCCTCGACAGGCGACCCCAAGGACCCAGGGAGAAAGGCCACGGAGGCTACGCGGACCCCCTCGTCCTCGCGTTACCAGAACCACTTCTCCAGCCCAACACCTCCGGGTCCGTCAACCTCGGAAAGCTGACGCTTGTTCCAGAGTGTAGGCTTCGTACCTGCTTCTGGACGTCGGCGTCGCTGAGAGCCATGGTGACAGCAGCTGCTCCTGCAGCGAGCCGTCAGCTTCGGAGCACAGCAGAAGATGAAACAGCCCTGGAGGCCGGGCGCTACCGTTTTTCTTCACTTGACAAGTCCAAGCTTCCGGTTCCGGTCAGCTGCTCCTCCAGGTAACGGCGCCCGCCCCCTTTTTCTCTTCCCCGGCTGCCAATGGGAAAAAGAGGAGTCAGCAAAGCCCCGCCCATTTCCCCGCCCCCTCACGGCGGAATAAATTACGATCCGGAAGCTATCGGGCTGCCTTCCTCATCTTATTAGTCTTACGGATTCGTCAGCAATTATGTCCTTGAGGGGGGAAAGAGATCCTCCCTAGCAGTGTTTGTGTCCGAAAGCGTTCCTAGTCCTTTGTATTTCTTTGTACCCAACTATACATTTGGACTCCTGTCGTTCAGAGTAAACAGAAAATTGAATTGGTTCTTTGAATAATTCAAGGAGTTAATCTATTTTAGCCAGAAAGACTTTTTTTTTCTTTTTTGGCAGGGAGGGAGGCTGTGGATTGCAAGTCTCAAGTTTATGTAAAGACAAACACTATATATAGAAAATACCTATTTTATAAAACTTTTTATTGACACCTTCTGATTTTTCATCACCATTTTGGAATATGTCCTCCCATCTCCTACCCTGGAAAGCCATTCCTTGGAACAGAAATCATTAATCCCCACTCTGGGTCACTTACAGTGTTAACATTTAAACCTGAGGTTTGGAGTCCTACTCTCGGGTTCTAGGAGTAATCTGTGGATCCTTCTGCAGCTCCTGAGCCCCTACCTTCGTGCTGATAATTAAATTCATCAGTTGACTTAATAAACCTTTAGCAAAGGCTTTTACTAAGATGATTATTCTAAAACATCTCTCCCCACCCCTAAATTTGGGACTCACTCTCACAAATACACACTGTATCTACAGGAAGACTGAGCTCAGAGTAGCGAAGCACATAGATAGGGAATACACGTGACAGAGTAATAGATCCTAGGACTGGAAATGCTTTCTCTCTTATCCTCACAAATTTCTCTTTAGGTTCAGTTTTAGTATGAAGGGAGCTCAGTCAGGCTCCAAGGTTCTGTGCCTTTCTTGAGTACAAAGCTGGCACTTCTCTCCACCATGAAGGATCACACTCACTGAATTTATCCATCCTGTGTGCATCTACCCATTACCATTAAAGATACTTTCCTTACTATTGGCCGTTGCCATTCTGGGCACTCAGGTCGTGTTCACCTTGTAGGTCTCCCAGGATCTTTGGGCCTTTTAGAAAGTACAAATTCATCTGAATGCTTCCCTCTCAGTATAATCATTTACTTACAGTTAAGATAGAACAAACCCCGAAGAGACAGAAGGTGCCTTGTGTTCATGGCCACCATAGCCAGCTGTGAATAGTCCCCACAGCTCTCAGGAGGCTACTCAAACCAGACCTGTCTTTCCAAAAGGAATAAAGGAGGATGAGTTGCTGCTTTTGTATATCTACTGAGTTCCAGCTCAGCAATTAATCAGGGAACTCTTCATCATTACTCAGTGCAATTCCTCTCAGTCACGTTGGCTGAAAGTAGGCTTCCCCAAAATGACTTTTTTTCACATCTGGCAATTTTTAAAAGGTTTGTTATTTTTACTTATTTATTTTTATTTATCTATTCTACTACCTGAGCAAATTAAAATAAATAAGCCCTCAACACACAGCTTCACAGCTATGCACTCTAGCAAAGCAGATGCCCATGTTGGCCATGTCTCAAAAGTGTATGTCTTTTTCTGCATTTTAAGTTCACCATCTCTCTGTTCAGAGGTGAGCAGCATTTCCACAGGCTTCCACATGATAGACTGTAAATAGGAAAGAGACATCCGATTATGCTCCTTAGACCAGTTCACCTATTCTATAAATTAAAAAAGAGAAGGGAGAAAGTAGCTCATTAAAGCCAATCAATTCATCAATCATATCTGAAAGTATATTAAATATTCCACACCCACAGTGTCCCACTTCTGAAAAGCTAAGATAAATGAAGAGGTTTTTGGGTACTGGGAACCTAACAATACCAAGGCAGAATTGCCTGGAACAAATTCACACACTCAAGCCCTCTTTTAGTCAAGTGGCAAAAGTTTATTATAATGCTTTAGCAAAAGCAGGCGAAGTTCCAAGAGAACCTGCAAGCTAGTCAGGATGGTGTTGGGCTTATATGGAAAAAGGACAAGGGAAAAGAATGCCAAGGGTGCTAATTAGATAAACTAGGCTCTTCAAGGGATATGCCAGGGGTCCAGGTATCTTTGGGAGTAGGTGCCTATAATCTATGGATGAGAAAATACAGAGAGTCAGCAGAGATAATTTTGTTGATACCAGACATTGAGGGAGAAAAGACAGTTTTTGTTTAGTTGCCAGAGGAGTGGACCTTGGGGATCCAGGAAGGGAGAGTCCTCGGGCCAGCCAGGGACAAAAATCCTTGGGCCATGCACCCCTGTGTCTGTTCTGATAAAAGGAATTAGAGTCAGGCCTGCATGTGTTCTGAAAGAGAAAATTTTCTCACAGGGCAGGGGCCTACTGAGAGATTGGGAGGCTTCCAGAGACATGATCTTAGGGCTGAGGTCCGAGCACAAGCATCCCATCAGAAATACATTTTCTCAACTCTTCTCATGGACTAAGTTTAGTCATAATTATACAGCACTCATTTTCTTTTTGCTTTTCTTTTTATTATTAACTTAACAAACATCAAGAAAAATTACATATTTTCTCATACTAAAAAGAACATAAAAAGACAACTGTATATGAAACTGTGACTCTCCACAACTTCTGTCATAGGGCATAAGATAAAAAATAAATTGATCCCTCTTAACATAAAACCCTTCAAATATTTGAACATAATGAGCATGTTTGTCCTGTCTTTTTTTTCTCCAGATTAAAAATCTCCTTTTTCTTCAAATGATCTTTGTATGGTTTCTAGTCTCCATACCATCTTGCCTACTTTTTCCTGGACAAAGTCCAAATTATCAATGCCCTTCCTAAAATATGGCATCCAGATTTGGATACAATGCTCCAAATGTAGTCTGATCAGGGTAATTAACAGTGTTTATACAATCATTTCCTTCTTTCTAGACATTATAATTGTATTAATGAAGCCTAAGATTTTTGGATGTCATGTCATATATGTCTTGCAATGTACTAAAACTCTAGGGCCTTTTTCATATTAACTGTTTTCTATTAACTATTTTCCCCTGCTCTCTTCCTGTACTTCTATATTTGTGCAGTTGATTTTTTTAAAAGCCAGATGTTAGGCCTTATATTTAATCCCCTTAAATTTTCTGAATGGCAGCATGACATAATGGATAGTTGGCCTCCAATCAGAAAGGCCCAGGTTCAAGTCCCACCCTTGATTCAAACTAGTTGGGTTACTCTTAGCAAATCACTTAACCTCTCAGTGCCCCAGACAGCTCTAAGACTTTATATTATAAAGCAGGTACTGATCACAGGTCCAGTAAGAAAAGAAAGAAAGAAAGGTATCCTAATAAAATCACCCCATCTTTGTAGTCTGTCAAGTTTTTTTAATTTTAATTCTGTTTTCCAGTGTATTAGCTATGTTTCCCAGCATTCTCATTGGTCAATTTGTTAAGTACATCACACGACTTCCTCTATATCATTAATAAAAATGTTGAACAGAACAGGGAAGACAAAACCTATCATACTTCACATGAGAATTCCCTCTAAATTGACATTAATCTATTAATCAATACTCTGAATAACTTGTTTATAGCATTTCCCAGACTTATTAGTCTATAAACTTTGTTGCCTAGGCTGGCAGCCTAAGTGTCATCCTTTACTCCTCATTCTTTCACCTACCATCTGCAAAGCCTATCAATTTTACCTTTTATCTCTTACATATGTCCTCTTCTTTCCTCTGACACCATTGTTCAATTGTGTCCAACTCTCCATGACCTCATTAGGGTTTTCTTGACAAAGCTGTTTTGCCAAGAAGAGTGGTTTGCTATTTCCTTCTCCAGCTCATTTTACATATGAGGAAACTGAAGCAAAAAGAGTTAAGTGACTTATCCAGGGTCATACAGCTAGTTAAGTCTCTGATGCCAGAGATAACTCGGGAAGATGAATCTTCCTGGCTCTAGGCCCAGCACTCTATCCACTGTGCCACCTAGCTGCCCTCTGTCAATACCCTAGTGAAGGCCACCATCACTTCATCCCTGGACTCATGTAGCCTGTTCTTCCTACCCCAAATCTCTTTCCCATGCCAGTCTTCCCTCCATTCAATTGTCAAAGTGATCATTGTAAAGCCCAGGTATGACCATGTCACTCTCCTGCCTCCAACTCAATAAATCCTGGTAGTCCCCTATTGCTTCATATAAAATATAAAATCCTCTGGTGTTCAAAGCCCTTTATAACCTATTCTGCTGCTCCTCCCACTTGCCATCTATCTAGTCTTCTTACACCTTACTTCCCAACCCCCAAACCCAGGTACTCTTTGAGCCAGTGACACTGGCCTCTTTGCTGAAAACAAGACGCTAAATCTCCCGACTCCAGGTATTTTCAATGGCTGTTCCCCATGCCTGTAATGCTCTCCCTTACTCATTTCTCCCTCTTGGCTTCTCTGGCTTCCTTCCAGTGCTAGCCTTTATAGGAAATCTTTCTTGATTCCTCTTACTTCTACTGTCTCCTGTCCTTTGCTTATTTAAAATCTATCCTGTTATTTAGCCTTTTGTAAACAGCTGCTTGTGTGCAGATTCCAACAAGACTGTGAATTCCTTGAGAGTATGGATCATCTTTTGCCTTTCTTTGAATCTCCAATGCCTGGCACACAGTAGGCATTAAATCAATGTTAACCGACTGTCTAAAAAAAGAAAATGAGGTATAACCTGTTCTTGATGAACTAGTGCTGCCCTCTATGATCACTGATTCACTCACAAGCCACCCCATTCGATGATCCATTCCAATTATTCCACTGTAATTTTTTTCAAGAATTAACATCAACCTTGTCAGCTTTTCGTTCGAAGAATCCACCCTTTTCTCCTTTTTGAAATAAATATATTTGCCCCTCATTGTATGGTACCTCTCATTTTCAACTCTTTTTCTTTAATGATCATGGTTCATGATCCCCTTGCTACACACTTCAAC